CCCCCCCCCCCCAACTACACAATTTTAAAGTTGCTGTAGTACAATTTATATGTATGATGGTGATAGTTCTGAAGAATTCATTAATGGTTCTCAAGAATTAATAACTGGGCATTTTGTTTTGTAGATGCTGTAGATGGTAGGGAAGAAAAGCCGACTGCTGCTGACTCGAATGTTAAGCCATCTACTCAAGTTATAGCAGCAAGCATGTCTGCATTTGATCCGCTGAAGAACCAGGAGGAAATCAACAAGAATGTCATGTCAGCGTTTGGCTTGACAGATGATCAGGTGTCAGGTAAGAATACGTCTTACGGAAAGGAAAGCGAACCCTGTTCATAATTGATGACTCAAATCTTGATTTGTAACAAAGCATTTGTATTTTGGATGTATTAAGCTGTGTTCTGTATTCACTATTTCTTTTCAGAATTTTAAATCTTGGTATGTTAAGGTGTTGTAACTGTGTTTGCTAGCTTTTGTATACAAAATGTTGAAATGTTGCCGTTAGATTTAGCATGGAGTAGAAAATGGCTTAAAATATTTTATTTGAGTTATTTAAGGCTATTGTGTAGAGTAACTTAATTGGTATCTGCCAGTGACAGAAAAACGGTGTCCACTGCTCTGCCTTAGGGTTTGATCTTGCAGTTCATGTTCTAGGCTTGTGCTTCTGCTGTTTGGGTCAGTCAGAATGTTTTGTACAACCCCGCCTTTTCTCTGCTTCATTTCAAAAGTAAATAGTATCAACTTTTTTACTGTTAACAGAAAGGAATAACATACTTGTCTGAATTATATTTATTCTTGAAGAGCAGCATGACTGTTGGCCCTACCTAGTAGTAGAATGCTAAGCATATAAAAAGTGATTATACTAAACTGAATGCAGTCAACTTAAGATGGGATACCTGAAGTTAGAAAAGCAATGTAGAATGTAACAGGGAGCATGCTGCAGAATGGAGAGAAGTGATTTTGCACAAAATCGGTGTGAGGGGGTCTGGCAAGGTTTAATGTAGCATTGAAACCTGAAAATAAAACTACTGTTAGCTTAACAGGATTTGCTGTGTACTCTCAACTTTAAAGCAAGTAAATTTTATTTGTGTGAAGTAATGATACAGATGGGCCATCTAATATCAACTGGAGCTTGTTTCTACAGTACGGCTGCCTTGGCAAAAGTGTGGAGTGATAGGAAGAGATCTGCACTGCGTGACTGCGACTGTGCAGGATCCAAAGTTGTACCTGCAGGTGGAGCGGTTGTCTTCAGATTGGGGTACTGGTCTGTGGACCAGGCCTACTGAGTGATCTCTTCCTCTGTGGCACATTTTGGGTATTGACACAGCGTGGTTATTTCACAAACCAGATAAAGGTGTGATGGTATTTGAAAACTTGCAGTGAGCTATCTCTGAACAATGACCTGATAGAGTATGAAGTACAACTAGGGGAAAATTGGAGCTAACTTTTGAAGGAGTGGTTTTGAACTTTGGTACCAAGCCGCAGTATCAGTTAACGCTTTGATCATAGCATCAATGATACTTCCATGTTTATGTGTCTCCGTAATTCTTCTGATACAGTGAACCATACTTTGACTGTACAAAGAATTTCACAAAGGACTTTATATAAGAATTCCCATTTCTAAAACTATAATCCAGCAGATATCTATATAAAGGCAAAACCAGATTCATTTTCCCCCTCATAAGGGTAGCATGAAAATACATTATGGGCTTGTTGGATGCGTATTTATATTGGGTAAACGTTCTTAAAATTGAAAGTCAATTTGCAGCAATTCTCATACTTGTGCTTAGCTTTAAGCATGTATTTGAAAGTAGTGTCTCATAGGTAGCATTCATATAGCTAAGAGCTGGAAAGATTCAAGTTTAAGCTCCCTTGTTTCTAACAAAATTGTTTGCATTTAATTGTAGTATATTATACCTGTTCACATGCATATATCAGAACTTCTCACTTTGTTGCCTGGGCACATGTGGGCCACAGCAAAACACTACTGCAGTTGAACAGTTTGACACAGCCTTTCTCCTTTGCTCCAGATTAGAAAGAACGGGTACATGGGCGTATGTTCTGTCCAAACCTAGCAAGTCTTGAGTGTACATGTGCAAGGTTAATGCTTGAAGCTGTGGGAAAAACGTTGTCAAGGAGGGTTTTATCCCACAAATGGGCCAGGTTCCTTGGAAGGATGAAACTTGAGTGACCAGGAGACAGGTGGAAAATTCCCTTCCCCCAATATTTTCAAAGGAGAGTTTAGATGTGCAAATATAGTTAGTTTTAGCTTGGGCAGGACATTCTCGGATGTAAATATATGGAAAACTGGAAAAAACGTTAAAAACTTTGTCAGGGAATGGTCTTGTATGAGACTTTTTAAATTCAAGCTGTCTTCATTTCACATACTGCATTTTGTTCGTGCTCCTCTAGGACCACCCAGTGCCCCTGCAGAGGAGCGATCGGGAACACCGGACAGCATCGCTTCCTCCTCTTCTGCAGCCCACCCCGCTGGGGTCCAGGCACAGCAGGCACCCTACCCTGGAACGCAGCCACAGACTGGTCAGGTGGAAGGTAAGGACCATGGGTTGTTGCTTTTGAAGACATGTCTGAATCTGAGTGATCAGTAGCTATGACTTCCAATTAGCAGATCCAGAGTTGAGACCAAACTACAAATTCATCTGTGCCACTAGGCAGAACAACTTTTCTCCTGGCATGCTGTTCGATATAGAAACAGCAGATGGAGCAGTAGCTTTATTTAAACGGGTAGGTGATGTAACAGGAGGAGGATTTTTATGATACTGTTTTCTACTTGCATCCGTGCTCACATTACTGTAAGGCAGATTTATATACGCTGTGCTTTAAGATCTTAGTTCATATCATACCCTGTGTGTTGTGTCAAGCTTTCACTCAGCTAACACTTTGTTAGCTTGTCTACTATGAATTAAAAATGTTTATTCATCATTTCTATTTAACAAAACAGAGCCATTATTGGATTGCTTCGTTATTATGTACGGCTCTGTGCTAGTCAGGTTAAACCTTGTAACTCTCTCATATGCATTCTAGTTTTCCTGGGTAAGCCTTCAGAGCCCCAGTTGGATCTCTTTCAAAGCTTCAGGTCTTATCTCTGGTATTCAGATTCCTTTGTTCTGTGCCCTTTTACATCTTATTTGACTTCTGAAAATAAACCTGTTCAGAGGTTTTCTACATTTGGGCATCATTGTTCTGTTGATACTCAGAGCACTGAGCCTTCAGGCCTGCAGTAGTTCTGGGTGGAACGACTTGCTTTGGTATTTCTACCTCTGTACAAAGTACAGTATCAAGTTGTTTCTGTGTTAGTGTAGGAATAAGTTACAGCCCCCTGCTGCTTTCTGTACTGACGTGACGCTCAGATACGCAAGAGGCGTTATTGAGGGTGATCACAGTATCCACATTCACTTGGAGTGTCTTCCCTGAAGGGCATCGGTAACATTTCGATTGAGCCCGGTATTGGAGCAGCTTGTAGTTAGGTGTAATATTTAAGCAGGCGTGAATGCTGTTGTTGCAGTGGAGCTTATAAAACACCTGCTTTCAGTGCTGTTTGTTTGTTTGCTTCCCTAAGAATTAGTCAAGTGATACAAAGAGACACCAAGAGAAATTTTTGTAGCTTGAAGATACAACTGTTTGGCGTTTGTCTGTTACTTTTGGGAAAAAAGTGCTTCAGGTTCTTCTGTCAGAAAACATAATATTCAAAAAAATACACTCTCAGCCACTGAACTTGCATTTTTTGAGTTTAGTCTTTTTATTTTCTTTCACTTTAATACCATAAGGTATGAGGGTTTAAGTATTGATGTTAAACTAGAACTGAAACAAACAAGTGAAACACTTAAAAGGATTAGCAGCACTAGGTTGGAATCCTGAATGGCTGCTAACACCAGGGAAGGGAAAAAGTACTCGTTTCAGCAAAACTCATGGTACTTGGGAAAGACGGTGTCTTAGGCTCATGCATCAGAGTAGATGTAATGATTTGGCTAAACTTGGGTCAAGGAAAGTATAGTGCTTTTTTTTTTTTAAATACTAAACTGGGCTATACCTTTGCCCAAGGCTTTTTTTTTGGCACATAAAAGTACAACGGTGCTAAAACTAAGGTTTTGGTCTGTAATTTATGCAGTTTTTATTATTGCCACTGAAATATGTGAAGTATTGATTGTATTTTCTTTGCTTTATGGATAAAATGGGATGGTTCAACTCTTGGGAAGAGATCAGAAGTCATTGTGCTTTGTTCATCAGAAATACTAGTGGGAGCGCTTCTGCTGTGCATTGTATGCTTATGGTAAATAGCAGTCTCTTACCACAGTGGGTAATCTATATGTCACTATCAGCCTCTCAGGTTTTTTCATACACTAAGTTGCTTTTATCGAAAGTGTTCAGAGACTTTGCTTTGGAACATGGAGTAGCTTTCTGTACTTCACTGTTTGATAGCACCTCAGGCCAGTGGTAATCTGGGGATCCGTGCTGTCCTGTCTTCCTGTCCTGGCCCAAGATAAGAATCGGGGCAGCGCCATGGCCCAGCCAGGACTTTGGATACATTTTGGTAGTTAGATTTTCAACAGGATTGGCTCACAGAAATGGCACTGCTGGTGCAGAGCATGTTCTTGTTAGGGACTAGGTTTAAAATACTAGTTCACTTCCTAAGAAACCAAAACACCCCAAACTGTGCTTTCCCCCCACCTTCGCAGTATTTTGAGGATATAAGTAAAATGGTGATGTCAATCACATGTCAATCATTCTGATGTATCAGGGATTATTTTTAAATGGCACTTTGCCAATTAATGATGTTATGATGATTATAATTGGTTGTTAGTTGTTGTTGTTTGTGATTGCCAAGTCACTTCACCTCTGTGTGCCGATACAAATGAATGGCTTGCCTCCCTTGATAAAGTTTTAAGCATTCACAAACTTGAATTAAATCCATACAACAAAGAGGTTTCAGTATAGTGCGCTCTCTTGGGGCATGCCTGTGCTTTTGTACCACTACATCCAGTCATTCAGCATGCACGAGAACCAGTGATGTGCAGATGTGGACACTTTTTTGGTCTTTGCTGAAATAGATATAAAAGTTAATCTACATAAGCACTTCATGACCTTCCAGGGAAAAGAATGTTGTGGGAATATACCTATTGGGTTTTTTCTGAATCAAGCTAAAATGGCTGTTTCAGTGCACAGGAACAATGGTAAATGCTGGCAGATCTCTGGCTGGAGGAAGCACTGCTAAGTACAGAAACAGACACTGATGTTGTAGCTCATCTTGTTTTCAGAATAAAAATCCAGTGAGAGGGAAAACTCGGTGTGTTTAAAGACCCATAGGGTCCCTGATTGCATTTATGGCTGTAAATTAAGAATGTTTTCTTGAGTGGCAGTGGAACACCTCTCTGCTCCTCACTAACGCTTCAACCCTGGCGAAGACAGCAAGCCTTCTCGGAAAGCTTTGGAAAAACGCCATGGTTTCTTTCGTGTCCCTTTACTTGGGGTCTCCAGCAGGTGCCAGTGTGGTCTCTGTGCGTGCCTGTAGGTAATGATCCCGAGGCAGGCAGCCTTCTGGGGGTGCTCCCAGAACCTCCCTACTACAGCTGAGTTTAAGAAACAGAAAACATGCATTCTGAGTTTCTAGTTCTTAATTATCAAGCTAATGACCTTAAATTGTCTTCAAGCCTTGTGTTTAGCACTCTCTTCATCCTACAAGAATTGCGTACCAAATATTATTTTGGACGACTGCACCAATATAAAATATTTTGAACACCTTAGTGTGAATGTAAAATACTGTTGCTTTCAGCCACAAGTAATGCAGAGAAAAGAAGAAATAAGGAGTTCTTTTAAAGCAATGTGCACAGGGGCCTGGGGGGATTTGGAGCAGAGCAGAGTTGCTTTTTTCTTGGTGCAGTTGAGAAGATACAGCTTACAGTATATTTATACAGTCTGCTGATCTTCGCAGAATGAATAATAGTACTGTAACACTTTACTATTATAAAGTTTCCATGTCTGCTCCAGTTCAGCTAAGCTTTAGTTTTGGCAGGTAATTGTTTTTGTTCTTTGACTCTGCCTGTTACTAAATTGAAAAACAGCAGAAGCATAAAGCTTAAACAGGGCCCATAGGTTAAGTCTGAACAAATATGCTGCCTCTTCATACCAAGAAATTGGAAACAGTGAAACAGGAAAAATTAGCATTGAATTGGAATGCCCAAGCCTAAGAATATATAGTTTTATTTTTACTTTAGTGTGTATACCCCTCGGTCTCTTCAGAAAACTTGGCTTACAGCAAGTCAGATACCAGGAGATGGATGACTTATCTGGGAAATGTCGTCAGAATAAATAACGTACCGTTCTGCTTACAGTACTTTGGTGCAGAAATGGTCTTAAAAACCTACTATAAACAGACAATCTGAGGACGTGTTTTAAAGTACTTTAATTTACAGTGTAAGTTCTGGAGCAGTTATCAAGATGTTTAAAGATTCCTGCTCTGTTACCCACCAGAGTAACACTAATTAAGGCACATGGCTTCTGGCATCCTCTGAAAACGTGAAACAGTAAGCCTCACGTACTGAAGGAGAACTACTTATTCTGTTGGAGATAGCTAAACATCGTTTAGCCTTTGGAACGGCATGGTTCAGAAACTAAAATCTGTAGACTGATTTCAGTTGGTGGAACACATATTCAAACTTCAGTGTTCAGATTTTTTGAAAAAAAATTTTTACATGTTGTGAGAGGGTTTGTTTCTGTGATTTTGAACTGTTAGGATGTTGTTCACTGTGTGTATAATATAGCTAGGGCACTGGGCTTCAACTAAATACATTTTTAATCCATAGGTCAGATGTATCAACAGTACCAGCAGCCTGGTTATCCTGCTCAGCAGCCGCAGGCTCAGCCTCAGCAGCAGTACGGTATGCAGTACCCAGGTAAGCAGCTCCCTCAAACGGCACTTCGGCTGTAGAACCTCTCCTTCCATGCCCGACTCTGGGAGCTTCGGTTCCTGAACCTGTGGGGCAGGTTGGGGTGCTGAGCAGCCCGAGCGCCTGTGGTTCTGATGGGAACTGGCACCATTCAGAAATGACCAGGAAGAGAACAGGGTAGCTGCTTGTATTTTTAATGCATAGTTGGAGTTCTGGTATCTCAAGCCTACTTGGTTGTAACCAGAAGCGGACTTCATTGTTACTCAGCAGGATGCCCTCTTAGAAAGGCAGGCAGCATGAGTCACCTGAGGGATGAGCAGTCTTCAGGATTAACTTCTGCAGTCTTCGCATTCTAGCAAGTGACTGATACATCCCAACGTAGCTTCCTTAAATATTGGAGGCATATAAAGACGGCCCCTATTTCTTGCATCTAGAATGATCTCCATGTACAAAATGTAGTGGTGTGAGCACTCAATATAGTTGTCATTTTGTAAATCCTTAGCTATTATAAATACTGTAATTTCAGAGAAACTTTCAAGTGATCGGTCTTTTTAGCTGTTGATTTTTGCTGGTGCCTCAAGTAAAGAATTTCAGCAGAAGAATGTTTTAGTGCACCAGTGGTTTATGTGCAGTCAAATATGAAAAGCTGGCTTTTGCGTATACCCAAAATAAACTTGACTTCAGAACTTTCAGTTACTGACTTCAGAAGCAGCTGGCATCTAATAATGCATGGTATAGGCTAGGAATCATAATCCAGCTAAAGTATGGGGATGAACCTGGAACAGCAGAGTCCATGACACATTGCAAATTGCTTAATACTTTTAGAAAGTGATAACAGAGCATATATCATGCCTCGTTTTAAACAGTCTTCCCTAAAGTAATGATTCCCATACCATTAAGTGACTTGGAATACAGCCTGTATGGGCTTTTTTTTTGGTGTGCAATGTATACAGTGGGAGTGCATCAGTTTTGATGTAGATGAGAACACTTGCAGAGCTTATGAAGAAATTCCATGTTTATCTTGGACAAGAACCCTAGAAAACTTGGAACTGAAGGTTGTGCCTGAGCCCTTGTTCCTGTGCACTGTGCGAGAGCCGGTTGATTTGGGTCTCTAAACGGTATCTTGTTCTCTGCAGATCTCTCACCCCCACATTTGTAATTAGAAGACAGTGACAGACTTTCTGAAGTCTAATTTCAGAAGAAGTAACAAGCCTGTTGGAAGTAGAAGGGTCTATCTGACTTTCTTTAGGCTTAAAAACTGAGTGGGGAAAAAAAGGAGTTTCCATCTGCTTTCTAGTCATATCCTACCATCAGCTAATCCGTTATTTTACTGGAGACGTTCCTGTGAAAGCTGTAGTGCAATGTGAGTTCTGCATTCTAATCAACACCATCTTCAAGTAAGAATGAAACACCACCAAAACTGATCTGGGGTGCCTCTGTCTCTCATAACTTACTTCACGATTAACCTAATCTTTCAGAAACAGTCTTTTTTTTTTTTTTTTGGAGGAGGACCTAGTGACAGCAGCCTTTGAAGATCTTGACTCATAGGATTTTTTGGTTTGTTTGTTTTGCTGTTGTTCCCATGAGTATTGTCTCCTTCCAAACCCCTGTCCCTAAGAGCAGGCTCCATTCCCACTCTTGTAGATCTACTAGGCAACAATGTGGCTATTTACTCATGGTAGTAAAAATGGACCCCTCAGAGGTTTGTGTCATGAGTAAATTCTGATCCCAGTTTCCAGGTGAGTTTACTCCAGTGCATTCTTCAATCCTTACTCTTTCTGTTCAGGGCTGTGCACTTTTAATAATTTGTGTGTCTGGTGTTTAATGCTGACAGGATTCCAGTCACTGGAGAGGTTTCATTGCAAGTAGCTGCAGGTGTGTTTCATGATGGATAAAAGTAGCGTTTTCTTCATAAAAGGACTCGCTGTGTCACTTTAAAGTTTTCAATAAGAGAAATTCCTTTCGGAAGCTGGTTTTATACAGAAAAATCAAGTTTGGGCCATGTTTAAATGGAAGTTTTGTACTTGAGTATTCTGTTCTGCACAACTCTTTCATATTTAAAGAACTGAAAGCACCTATGATTTAACCAAAGGTATGACTTGTATTAAACCCTGACGGTATTTCCGTGACAGTCTAGTTTTGAGTTTTTATTTGGGAGAAAGATTGCCTTTTGCCTCATTTGCCAGTGAAGATGTTTTCTTTTTCATGTGACATGACGCTAAAATACTGTTTGTCATTTTTTTTAATTTGTTGTCAGTCACGGGGATAATTATTTTAGACTGACTATTTTCAGTGTTGCTGTGTTGCCGCCGCAACCCGATGCAGCGTGCTTATGTGAAAGGCAGGAAAACGTGCAGTTCGTTCTCGGTTTGCCTTTTCTGTGCTTACTGCCTCGTTTTGTGTTTGTCACTGTAAAGAAAGCAGAAAAAAGAAAAAAAAAAAAGAGGTCTTTC